GAAATAAGTTCTCAGTTGTATCTTGAAAGAAGTCCCTTTCTAATTATCCTGAAGTAACACACAATTCAAAACTGTGTTGAATGTGCTTGGCTTGTTTTTATTAGCTTGGCTTGTTTTTATTAGCAGCTAATCAGAATCATACCAGCAACTCCTCCCAGAAGAAAATAACAAATAATAGAAAATTATACTCTTCATTTTGTATTTTTCTCCAGTTTGTTTTTTTGAAATAGTGGGTGTCAAGTGGCATCTATATCCAAGAGCCGGCACATTACTATGGCTCTAGGAAAACTTCCACCCATTTATAAACCTCTCTGGCAGCACCTGTTTTAGCAGTATTAAAAGCTACATCTGTCTTTGATCCAAGCCCAGTTTGAGTCGTTGCACAATTTGTTGAGCAGAGAAGTGCTGGAGGGTCCACACAGGTCAAACCTAAGTGTTCCCAAGATACGGCAGGTGTGCATTTGTGCATAGCAACCATCTGACTTCTTTGGAGGCATTTAAGATTGTGATTAATTTAGTATTAATCTAAACAGCTTATCCTCAGCTTCAAGCAAATGAAATACATAAGTAGATTGTCAGGATGAGAAAGCAATATTTTAGTGAAATGAAGGGATTATAAAGATAAGATAAAGGTCTGACTACTCGATCAGCTATAATTTTGATGGCCGGCCTTGAGAAATATAGGTCAATATGTTTATCATTAGATACTTCCACAGATTTAAATGTATTTTAAAAAATCGTAATTCTAAATTTGAGACAGTGATTGGGCTTTCAAGATGTTTCCCAGCCAACATAAAATAATTCTCTCATTATTTTGCTACCTCCGCTTACACTGAGCTCTAGCATGTCGTCCCCTGTCAAGGTGAAAGGCACTACATGCACAAAATAAAGACGTTTTCCATGTGAAGTCAGCTCTTCCATGTGAAGTCCCTTCTCTGTGGAAGTGGGAACCTCTCAGGTGCCTGAGCTGAATCCAACAGGGATCACGAATCAGGAGCTGTGAGCTGCCATAGCTCACTGACCACCGTGCGAATGAAAATTAAATTCAACGAGGGTTCATCTTAATAGGCCAGGCAGGGGCTGGACATGCTGCTCGGGCAGTAACCCCTCTGGAGGGTAGCAAATCAGCAGGACACAAGCCCTCAAACGGCCCCACATGGATCAGGAGAGCTCAGGGATCTGGGCTGGTGTGAGGGAAACCATCCTTCGATGGTGAAAACACGTCCTAGTTTGTCACAAGCTCTCACTTATGCTGGGGGATGGTCTCAGTTGAGGACCACGCTGCTGGTTCCCCCACGCTGCAAAACACCCCGTCCTCCCCCAGCCCAGGAACTGACACAGCTGCAAATTCGGGAGGAGATCTGGGATGGGAAGGTCTGTTAAACCAAAGTCACCATCGCTGGCTGAAAGGGAGATCAACAGGAAAGCAAAGCAAAATCACGCACAGCCCTGGTGAAACCATACTAGTTTATAAGCAGGGTAAGCATCAGAGCGTCTCTCCGTTGGTTTTTGGAGTGAAAAGGTTATAATTTAAGCGTACTTGACAGTTACAGACAACCAATCAGAAAACTTATACTCCGTAAATACTTATTTTTAGTCATTTAAGAAGCCCCTATCTCTAGAGTAAAAAAATGTTCACCTTACTGTAGGCATTGCTTTGTGTAAGCAGAATGTGTTGGTTTAAACTCCACTGGAAACACAATGGCGAAGAAAAAGGCTTGAAAGTGAATCAACAGTTGCTAGCAGCAAAAGGGCACAATCCACAGGAAAAAAATAGAAAAAAAAAGAGAAGTATTTCTTGTTCCTTGGAGGCTGCCACAAGCTACTTGCAGTTAATTAAAAACAACTCTGAACTGTACAGTGTTGACAACTGGGTAAGATGTTGTTTTCCAGCCAGAGGTAGAATTAATTACACTGCTCTAGATTGTCTTTATTGACTGCCGCTTTTTTTTTCTCATTAGTCAAAATGACATCACAGAACAACTATTGGCTTTATTTCAGAACCTGCCTTGGAAAATAAGAACACAAAAGGGAAATAAAACTACTGAAGACTAAATGCTGCTGAGACCTACCCCAGTGACAGGACAAGAGGAAATGGGCACAAACTTGAGTATAAGAAGTTCCACCTAAACGTGAAGAGGAACTTCTTTACTGTGAGGATGGCAGAGCCCTGGAACAGGCTGCCCAGGGAGGTGGTGGAGTCTCCTTCTCTGGAGACATTCAAAACCCACATGGACACATTCCTGTGCAACCTGCTCTGGGTGGACCTGCTTTGGCAGGGGTGTTGGACTAGATGATCTCCAGAGATCCCTTCCAGCCTCATATGGTTCCATGATTCTTTATGATAGTCACCTTACAGAGGAACTGTATGTGCTGTGGAGGCGAGCAGAATTAATCACTGTGCGACTTACAGAGATTCTACCCCAGTCCATTTAATCTTTTTATTTATTGTTCATCTCCTAGGTTTACATGTTAACTAGCTGAAACACAAAGGCACAGGTGACAAATTTTTAGTCATTTAGTCACAGAGCACAAGACCCTTCGGGGCGCGCTCCTACATCTCACTGAGGCGACCAGCCTGCTTCTGCCCTCACAGATCGCCCACGGAAGGCTTTGTCACCGGGTGGCCTTCCTGAAGGCCGCCGTTTCGGATGGTCCACCACACCTCCCTCCTATCCCGCCTGCCGTGAGGCCCACGGTTTAGAACACGGGAGATGTTCCCGCAGGTTTTTCCTGTAAGGGATAAAGGGGCGGGGGATGGCGTCCTGGCGGCGCATGCGCGTGAACGCCCCGCCCCGAGACCAAGATGGCGGCGCCCAGGGTGAAGAGAGGAAGCTGAGGGCGCGTGGCTCCCGCGCGCAGGTAACCGTCCCCCCTCTCCTGTCAGCCTCAACGGCTCCAACCGCCGCCTGGCCTCCTCCTCCTTCTCCTTCCCCTCGGGCGGCTCTTTGCCTCCGGTGGGGCGCCAACCGGCCGCCCTCCCCGCTTCCCCCTCGCCCTCTCGGTTAGCTTCGCCGGGGGCCCTCGCAACCGGGGGCCCTCCCCGAGTCACCCGCCGTGCCCTGACCGCTCTCCCCCCCGCTCCTTCCCTCCCGGGGAGCGGCCTGCCCCCGTGGCCGCTTCTCCAGCAGCTGGCTTCCCTTTCTGTCTTCAACGAGGGATTCACATGTAGGTAACAGCCGTGTTTTAAAAGAGATACATATATATGTATATATGCTGAAGCTCGTCTACCATAAGAAAAGGGAAGTGCTCCTTTCTGTGGTAAAAGAAAAAATCATGAGGTAACAGAAATAAGTAAGAGGGAAATAATACATAAAAATAAGCGAAACAGTGAAGTACTGGAAATATTCTTGATAATTTTGAGCTGAGTGAGGAAGGGTAAGGTGATGGAGGGGGAGAAATGAGGTGTCTCCCGACTAACTGGTGTGCATTGGGGATCCCGGGTTCATCCCTGGGTTTGTTATTATTACAAATATGAGAGATTAGTGACAAAAAAAAATAATTAAAATTTCAAATTAAAAGTGTTTGAAAGAGGCTGTTTGATAAGTAACAGAGAAAAGGTGCAATTCTTTAGATAGGCAATGATACAGGCAGTGAGGGCTTGTGTATGCACACGTGGTGAGTGTTAAGGAAGTGTAACTCCCTCAAGCTATACCTGGGACTTAATTTAGGTGCTGTAGCAATTATTTCTGTTGATAATGTTGCTCTCAGTTGGGAAATAAGTAAATAAAACTGTTTCTGAACTGAGATTTTACTCGCCTAGCTCTGCAAGAAAAATTATGAACTGACTGAAATTGCTCTCTGGGTACAACAGTCAATTGTATAGGCCAGAATTTGGAGAAAAACATAACCACAGGGGATAGGAAATATTTATATAAATAAACAAACAATATTTTTTAAAAAGGAGTTAGGAGTGACGGTGAGGGAGATATCTTCTCAGCCTAGGGTTTTTTTAAATGCCATATTTCCTATTGTAGGATGAGAAATCGGTAAATATCTTACTGAGACTGATCCTGAACTTGTGGGCTATTTTATTTTAGAAGCATCATGCTAAAGCATATGAAGAGTCTTTTAATTGGATTTTTAGTTGAAAGTGAAATGGATTACTTTACCTGCTTGACTTAGAATCACAGAATGGTTTGGGTTGGAAGGGACCTTAAATCTCATCCAGTTCCAACCCCTCAGCCCTGGGCAGGGACACTTCCCACCAGACCAGGTTGCTCCAAGCCCCATCCAGCCTGGCCTTGAACACCTCCAGGGATGGGGCAGCCACAGCTTCTTGGGCAACCTGTTCCAGTGACTCACCACCCTCACAGCAAATAATTTCTTCCTATCATGTGATCTAAATCTCCCCTCTTTCAGTTTAAAACTGTTACCCTTTGTCCTATACTTACAATCTCTGATAAAGAGTCCCTCCCCATCTCTCCTGTAGGCCCTCTTCAGGTACTGGAAGGGTCCATAATGTCTTCCTGGAGCCTTCTATTCTCAAGGCACAAGAAAGCCCAATTCTCTCACCCTGTCTCCGTAGGAGAGGTGTTCCAGCCCTCTGATCATCTTGTTAAATTATGTCTTGTCTGAATGGTAAATTTCACATGTAGTTCTTGCAGGAAACCATGCTGAGGAGGAAGCCCTTAACAAAATAGTCAGTTTAGAATATCTAGTTGAAATTTACTAATTATAGTCATCCTCCCCCATCTCTTTTCAGTGATGACAAATTCAGTAGTTTTACAGGATAATTTCATCCAACTTCCTCTTCTCCTCCTTTCATTCTAAATTTTTACTAACACCCTGTTAGCCATCTTCTTCTGTTCAGTCAGCCAAGTTTCTTGAACCTTCAGTTAACTGATCCTGCTTTTATGGGAGATTGAATGCAAGAAATGGACAAGTAGTCTAAATCAAAATATGTTTCATAGCTACTAAATTTCTCTATAATAGTAATTACAACTACTGAATTCCTGTTACATCTTGTAGACTGAAATACATGTTTTTATCTTTTTCAGATATCATAACCGTAAGAATGCAGTCGCTTTATCAGAGAATTGGCACTTGTTCCTCATGTTTGAAGAGACAACTAAATGGCTTCCCAGGACTAATTAAATGGCAGAGAAGACTAGTTCCTGCTTGTGTCAGAACTATTTACAGTGAGACGGGGAAATGGGAAAAAAGCTATGGGTTGGAGACAAGAAAAAGAGTTGAAAAATGGTGGCTCCCAAGAATAAAGGATCAGTTCTGCAAAATTTCAGAAACAGATGTAAGCATTATGAGACATTTTGAAATTACATGTTTGATATTTTCATTTTTTCAGACTGAAATTCATTGAAAATTGCTTATTACAATTGGCTTATAATGATGAGATGTGTATTACATTTCAGGGGAAAATACTTTTATATGATAGTAGATTACTAAAAACATTTGATGAAATAGGTAGGAAAAATAATTAAAAAAAATCTTGAGGAAAACCACAATTGGTAAAATATGAGTTTGTAAATTTAGGAAGTGTTTAAGTAATCACTTCTTTTTTTTGTATATCATACCACATTAAGGAATTAATTATTTAAAGTATTAAAAGAAACATTTTCTACATTCATAACTGTGACTCATTAAAATCTGTGTTAAGGGAAGGTGATTTTTTAAGAGTATCTTCTAGTTTTCAGTGTCCTAGGAATAATGAGTGACTTGCAGAAAAAAAAAAAAACCAACGTTCTCCATGCAATAAAAGATGTTGAAAACAATTGCAGTCTCAGTCTCTGACTCTTTTTGCCTTCACAATTATGCTCAGTCATATAGGTATAAAAACATTTTTGTGTCCCTTCATGTTTGTTCTTTCCTCAAATGTGCACCGTCTCCAACAAAAATTTATTCTATCAAAGTGTTGAAGAGAAAAAAGGGGCTTGCTTTTTCTGAGGAAGAAAACGGAGAAGAAAATGATGTGTATGAATACATACAGCAGGGCAAGCATTAATTTAGGCTTGTGTCTTTTGTATCTGACAATACATGTATACATCTGTATCATATGTTTATGGCATACATATGCTAAGTTCTAAATCGTACTTTTAATGATGTTTTTGTTTTATCCTTAAAGCAAATTTAATAACATCTCACATTAAGAGGCAAATAATGTATAGTGCTGCAATGAAGTATTCAGTTTATTTCTAATTTTGGTATTATTGGAGAGAAGCAATAACAAAGTAGTATTTGATAAGTAAAAATAGAGTTTGGTCCAGAATAGTAATAGCTGCCTGTGATTTTTTTTTTTCCTTATTAATATAAAAAAAAAATGTAGGAACTTATCAAGTATATATCAATGATAAATTCAGTGATAAACCGGATGTATTAGGAATAATTTATGTGAGACACATAACGTTTGATTTCTTTGTAACTTTCGTCAACTTGCTCCAACCTAACTAAATGAAATTTTTACTTTTCTTTTCACTATGCAAGAAACTGCGTGTAAGATGTGTTTGGATCTGAGAGTACGTGGTGGAACTGAACAGTTTTCCTTCAGTGGATGTTCGTGCAATTGCAAATGATTTTAGTCACTCAGGGAATTACTGCAGTTCAGCTGACAAAAAACACCTGGCCCTGAGCGAGCTCTGTGTTTGCTGTAAACACAAAGTAAAACATCTATTTAACTGTTAAGAGGATAATTAAATCTGTCATGGCTTGCAGTTTTTGGTGGGACAGATTAGTAGTACATAGATAATCAGTGACAGATACTGTGGTAGGGAATGGTGATTTGTTAAGATGCAGTTATGTTAATGTATCTTTTGTTGAGTAAAAATTGGTTAAAAACAATTTTCAAGTGTTATACCAATATAAATTGATGAGATGGCAGCAGAGTCTGGTGAAACATCTCCATTTACAGCCCCAAAAAATTTGATCCTAGGAACTTTGTCAGTGTTCACGTAGATCAGTTCAGCAAAACTTTGTGTTTTTTCATGGCACTCTGTAGTTTATAATGTGTGCGTGCATTTATTTAAGTGAAATGCTAACTCACATAGTTATAACTTTCTAAAAATTTCTTTCTAGAAATCAAGACCAAAATTTTATGTGCTTTCTATGTTCCCATATCCTTCTGGAAAGCTTCACATGGGCCACGTTCGTGTCTACACCATCAGTGATACAGTAGCTCGGTTCCAGAAAATGAGAGGGATGCAGGTAAGAAAAGATGGGCAGTAGGGCTGGGTGGTTTTTTGATGTTTTAATGTCACAGGTGGTCAGGAAATTAGTGTTTTCTAAAATTCATGAAGGTAAAAGCTTAGTCAGAATATGTGCTACAAATGTGTAGATATTTGTATTATAAATGGCCTGTGGAGCTTTGAATATTGACATTTGAGGCTTTTTAAAAACAGGTGGTATTCAGAACTCGGAGTTGATAACAAATCGTTAGAAGCTATCTCAAATGCTACAGCTGATGCTGTACCAGCTCCCTGAACCTATGGCACAGTGTCAACGAGACCTGTGGGCCACAGCATTTCTGTGAGAGGAGGCTGAAGACCCTACTGCTGTCTAGGTGGGACCACGGGGGGGAGAAAAGTGTAGCTGGCAAGAGAAAACACACCTCAGAAATCCATGCACCTCTTCTGCTCCTGACAAAAGGTTGATGTCCTTTGTCTGTCTTGGAGGGACATCCTGCTCCTCTGTGCCAGCTTGTAGGGAAATTTGTTCTCATGACTAGTGTGTGAATGGGGTCTCGTCACACGTCATGTCACCTGGCTGTAAATGTAGGAGTTTCTGTTATGCAGCAGCTGATTCCTTGACTTGCCTACTTTAGCCTTGCTCATATATACAAAACACTGTCTTCTGAGGGTGTTGGTCTGCAAGGTAGGCTAAGACAACTACTGGCCACATCTGCAAGGAGGAATCATACTTCCCTTCCACGTTCCTTTGTTTTCCAGTCCACCCCATGCCTGCCATCATTTCTCCCTCGCTCCCTTCTCTCTCTACGGTAGGTAGAAGGTGGAGCTGAGGGCTTAGTCTCTCTGCAGGTGGGATCCTAGTTGGTGTTCTGCAGTAAAGACTGGTGGGTAAAATTTGAAGGATGTGGGAAAGTTGTGGAGGAATTGTGGTCTGAGTGACAGCTATATCAAAGGGGAGGAAGTCATTTGGTTGTGGGAAAATGTTAAGAATCTGGAAAATGTTAGGAAGGAGGAATATGGAAAGAGAATACCCAATTTTAGGGTAAGGAACAAAAGAAAAATAGACATCAATCTGGGATGAGACTTGGAAAAGAATTCTCTAACGTACAAAAGAGAAGGAGCAGTTCAAGAATAGAGGAATTAGACCATCAAAAGGAGTACAAAGAAGATGAAATGGAGAAATAAATGTTAGTTGCTGGTTGCGGTACTAAGTGCAATTTCCTTGCTACAAGTGCTGCAGAAGTGTAGTGTTTCCTGGATTTATCACCATCCATGGGACTCTGAAAGGTATTGTCGCTGAATTATTCAGTGTGCTGCCTTTCCAAATACTATGTATTTTATGCCAATGATGAACATACTGTGCTATTGCTTTACGGAAAGGCACTCCTATGCTTTTAAAATTACAGGAAAAAGAAATAACTAACTTAGACTTTAAATGAGAAAAAAAAAAAACCCAACAAACCAGTATCTGTTGTAATACTAATCTTTCCTAACTCCTTTGAATGACCAGAACTTAGATCTCTTTAAAAGAATTGAGTCAACTGGGCTCTTCTAGGGACTTTTGATTCTTGCTTGACCTTCAGATGACTGGAGATGTTATTTCAGGACCTCATCAGTAACAGTGGAGGTAACCACCAAATTTCTGTTCAGAGAGATGAAAACTTCTGACAGGTAAAATAAAGGGAAAATAATTGTTTACATCCAGTAGGATGCTGTAGGTGTTAGCTTTTGAATACAAGGGAAGTAAGCACTTGCAGAACTTTTGGAGACAATGAAAATATAATAGAATTGCAATTAAATGCAAAACCTACTGTGAAAGCAAGTTTACATTTCCACGATTGCTTGTTATTTCCAGAAAAGTTTTGAAAGTCTTTTAAAGTTTTTAAATCTTGCATTTCAGTTTTATTTGAAGGGAGAGTGCCTGTAGAACATGTATTCTATAAATACGTGTGTCTTCTGTTGTGTTAATCCCTTCGAACATCTATTTATGACTAAAGGTGGGCAGCCGAAGAATTTAACCTTCATGTACGATTTAACAGATGTTAAGATCTCTTAAATGATTTTCTGAGTATGTCAGACTAAGAGCTATTGTGTTAGTGATGTACGTTAACTCGCTGGAACTTAGATTTACCTTAAAAACCCTTTTCTTTATTAGCCATGCTAATTTCTCCATCACTTAGAATTAAAGTCTTTATAATTGATTTTCTCATCGCAATTAATTTATCAGCATCGAGATGTTTTATCTGGCCATTGTCACGGTTGTCCAATCTGTTAAAGATTTTTTCATTGTGATGGCTGTAGGCTATGACCTGGTTATGTCTTATCATACATAAAATTTGATATACCCAAGAAAAATGTTTTTCCCTGTATTCAGGGAGTTACTGGAATTCTTCAGTATGTAAAAAGAAAGAATGCTTTAGAAATGAAAAAAATATTAGTATGAGTAATTTGGAAGTTATTTCATTGATTCTTTAAATTTTTTTCAGAAAATTCAGCATGTTTGAAAGCTCAGAGACTGCTAATTTTTCCCAAGGTAAAATTCAAAGTAGAAGTGAATCCATTTCAGGTATTCAATGCAAGTGTAGGGTAAGATTTTTGAGTAGTAATTGCTTCCATCATTTTCAAACTAACAAAAAGGAAGAGTCATTGAAAAAAATTGTAGGAACTATATCTCTACGTATAGATACAGACCTGACCTTGGTTAGCAAATCATAAAACTGTGCTAGAAGCAATACAGGTAGGTTGAAAGTGTTTGTAAGGCAATGAGGAATGATGGGCTGTTACCATGAAAAATAGAGGCAAAACCATTGAGACTTAGAGTTCCCAGGAAAAACTTCAGACTACAATGTGTATTTGTTGTCTAGTAAACAGTGGGGGAAAATGTGTGTGGTGTGTACATAGGTGAATAGTATGTACGGTTGAGTTAGACAGTAAAATATGTTGAATAAGTTGGAGATATTTTTCTTAGGGATTACCTTCATGAGAAAATAGTAAATCAGTTCCATATTGCTTTAATCTGAACAGGCAATAATTGTATTATTTATTATAATACTTAAGGCAGGGTAAGCTTGAATCCTTTACAAAGTGATTAGAGCTCCTTTAGCAGATTGGAACCATTCTTTGGAATACATTTGTGTTATTTCTTCATACTGGGGGTAGTTTGAAATCTTAACTGGGAAAGTGTTAAGTCATTTGGATGCTGAGGTTTTTTGTGTTTTATAAAATGGAACGTTAATGTCTCATTTTTTCTAGCTGGATAGGATCTGATTTTATTTCAATTAAAATATTCTAGAGATGTAATGCACACTGAAGTCTACAGGTATTTGCCAGAGACCTGTACTTCACCAGCATTTTAAGTGGGAAGATAAATATTTACTGCTCGTTTTCCTCCCCCCCGCGTTGTTTTTGGAAGAAATACTGCTTAACATAAAGCTGTAGATAATATTGGTGACTACTGACACTGAAAATGGGCAATCAAATAGATTACCTAATGAGCAGCAGCCTTTCCTTCAATACATGACTGGCTGGTCATTTATTAAACGGTGTGAAGGGGTAGGATTTAATGCAAGAGTAACATTGCAATAGGGAGTCACTTTTTTAGATGTACTGATGGGTGTTTTCAGGAGGAGGTGCGTGAATGTGTGTAAGGCAGCACAGAGGTTGTATCATACAGGGCCAGCACGTTGATTGTGCCAATGGGTGATCAGTCCTGTTGAACCTGAAGATCTGATCAGTGAAGCATTGTCTTGTTCCAACGCTCCTCAAGTACCTGTAGGCAGTGCATGAGAAACAAACTCTGTCATGCACTTGGATTAGGTTGCTGGGTAAATGATTTATAGAGTACATCTGCTGTAAGATAAGTTGTTTACATTCTAATTACTGAAGATGAAGTTTGAAGTCTTTGCGTGGGAGCTGTAACCCATATAGATTACTTAGCATGAATGCAGTAAGCTAGTCTCTTTTGAAAGTGTGTTAAGGATAACATTTTTCTTGAAATGCAATTAAAACAATGTTTGTGTATGGAAAGTTCTAGTCACAAATCTTATTACAAACGTATTTCTTTAAAAATGCTATGAGAAAGTAATTTTTATATTTTAAATTACGATTTTGTATGTATTGGTAAACCAATCCAGAACTAAACTGTGAAGTTTCTGGTTGTGTTTTCTCTGGAAATTTACATGCATGTTGTGAATTCAAACGTTTAAGTTTTGTAAGAAGTTAAGAGATTTCCTATTCATTATTTGGGAGTACAAATTATAGAGAGATTCACAGTGATTTTCACCGTGGCAGATTTCCAGTCTGCTGCTGCTTGGGGAAAAAGTATTTACCGTTGCTTTATCATGCTATCATTATCATGTCTTTGATGAATTCCAAGGTGGATAATTTGTGCCTCTCAGAGGACTGAGAATAATTCCCTTAGCAATCAGTAAATAGAGAGTGATTCAGTTCAATGGTTCCTGTGATATCTTTTTAATAAAATTTTGAATTGTAATTGATACATCAGGACAGCGAGGCTGTCCTATGCGAGTTGTGCAGAAAAGAGAATGATCATTGGACTATTCAGGATGAAATTCCTGTGTACCGCAATCAGGTTTCTTATACTTAAACTGTTCCTGATAGATGGGATAGGAATTTTGTCAGTGATATTTCCACAATATTGCAAAATGACTTAAAGAACACTTTCATTTTATCCAGAATGTCTTTTTTTTTTAAATTGGATGTATTTTCATTAATTGTTTTTCCTTTCATCAGTGAATCTTAATACTTTTGAAATTGCAGAAGTGAATGGTATTAAGAAAGGCAGGCAAGTTTAATTAAAACTTTGTAATGAATTCAACAGTAGGATGAATTATTTCAACGCAGTTCCATTTACTCATCATCATTAGCTGCTATTCTCCACCTTTTTGTGTGTGTGTGTGAGCCTGTTGTGTCCTTTTGCCAGGTTATTTTCTGTGGTATAAACCAAGTGGAAAGTATTACAAATATCCTATGTGAATTGAATCTTACAAAAATCTAGTTTTCCAGTAGCAGTGAGCTAAGTGTTAATTAGCTCAGTCTGTTTCATTGTAAAGAGAGAGAAAACAAGATATTATTTTAAATGCAATTATGTTATACAAGAATGTGCGAGATAAAGGAGGTGAGTGACACCTTTGTTTTCTAAATGTTTGTAGTAGTGTGTGGATGTAGAATAATTACTTGTATTTTATATCTTGTGAGAACAAGAAATAAATGAGAGCATTTTTAAAGCAGAGTTTTTTTTTGATAGAGATCTGTTTGGGTTGATTATTTTTTAATTTGAAAGTGCCTTATCAGAATGCAAGTATGCAGCATTTTGTTGCAGAGAGTCATTGAAATAGTCCTTGCTAGAATGTACACACTAGTCAAAAATTCATTATTTTAATCTATTTGCAGGTGTGCCTTGTCTGCTTTGGTCTTTTTTTGTTTGGTGGTGGTAATTTTTAGCTGTGGCATAATGGTGTTTATTACCTTTTACACTTAAAAGACAATCTAGGCTGCATTCAGGTGGAGATCTTGTATTTAAAATGTGTTGTATCTCTAATCTGTTGAAGTACAAATCAGATTTTCAACACGTTCAGCCTAATCGTAGGCAGCCAGTGGAAGGAGCCCTCTCCTTTCCCCTCTCCAACTGCGTGTCCTGACTGTCTCACTTGTGTGTGGTTGCACGTTGGTGAGACTAAGTACAAGGAGGATGACAGAAAGTTGCTGCTGAAGCGAGGGGTGTTTTCTGGCAGCTGGAAATCGTGACCACAAATCACCTATTTTGTCAGCCTCTTTTGGTTAGTTCATGTTGAGTGTGTCATGGGATTATAACTAGAGACAGGAATTTAGACTTTGCTGTATTGATTCAAATCACTAATCTGTCAGCAAACCTGTTCATTTTCATTTTTGGCTCTCTTACCACACATTCTCTGAACTAAATAATATTTATTTACAGGCATTTTTGACACTGATTCTGCTGTCTTTCTTAAAATTTCGAATGCATTGGTCCAGATGTAAGAAAGATACGTCAGCTCCCTGGTCATAGCCTTGAGACATCTTGAGCCCATCAGGACAGCAAACAAATTCTTTGTTTTCCTACAAACGTTAAGGAAAATTCACTGAATTGTCTGTCCTAGTTATGTTGATGGAGGCAGAGAACTGAGTGTTATGAGATCATTGTCAGCTTTGTGTTATATAGTACTTACTGATCTCGCCTACTAATGTCAGTGTGATGGGCTGATTGTTACGGCAGTGAATAGATGAAAATCCTCTGAGAGGAAGAACTGAGATCTCAGAAATGAATTAATGGAGTTACTGTGTCTTCCTCTGCCTCGTCCCACAGTCTCATTAAGAGCTCTAGCCATCGTTAACAACAGATTTTTGACCATGCTGTGAAATGATTCTTACAGCGATGCTGCAAACTAATATGAAGTCAGAGTCTTTGGGATCTAAAATGTTTCAAGATGCAACTGTTTTCCTTTTTAATAATCTTCTCCTGAAAAGAACGCTCAGTGTGGTAGTTACCAAGCACTTTGTTCCTTACACACTAATAAATCACTTCCTTGTAACTTCATGGTCTTGTGCACAACATAATATGTTGAGTTGTCAAAAATGCCAGTCTTCTGTAGCTCACCTTAGCAGATCATGTGAACTTCTGAGGGTCTTAAGCCCTCTGTGTTCAAGACTAACCAAGTAGTTTTAACCAGGGAGATTTTACCCATCTACGTCACCATGAAGACCACAAGCTGTCTTTGGAGATAGTGCTGGCTTCTGCTGTCATAAAATGACTGTGAAACTATAACTTGCCTTCTTTTACCAGGTATAGGCATCCTCGGACTTTTGGAGGCCTCCTCTCTTGCAAGATATGTTCATTATTTGGGGTTTTTTTTTTCCTCCCTGTGGCTTAGAGAAAATACTGTCTGTACAGAGAAGCGATGCTGGGAGGAACAGTCACTCTTAAGCGAGCAGAATTGATCCCTCGGTTGCATAACGTTTAGAGACTGCTGTCAGAAGCAATCAAGTCAGCGTTCAAGAAAGTGGGTGACTTCTTTTCTTCTGCTCGTCTGTCATGCTGGAGTTTTCTCTAGGCATGTTTTCTACTGGCTAGAGCCTATGACGAACACGTCAAGGAGCTACAAGGAATACCCTTTGCTCTACAGAATTGCTATCTTGCTATTTTTTCTTTGTTTTGAACAGTCGAACTGTTCCTTTAGTCTTCGTGCCAACTTCTGACATGTCAGTAGTATGTTTTCTTCTCCCCTTCCATGTCTGTTGAGATTTTTGATGTTTTTCAGAACTAGATAGTTAATCTCAGCCTTGTGTTTCACGTTGGCTAAGCAGAGTTAAGGTGTAACGCCAAGAGCTGCCTGGAGACTGTGGCATTTTAACTGTAGGTACGTAACATACATTCCAGCCAGAAGAAGCTGACCTATTGTTTAGACAAATGCATTGCACAAACCTTTCAAATCCATTCACGGTAGAGAAGTAAAAGAGACAATAAACTTGAAATCATTTTCTAAACCACTGTGCGTGTTACATTCATCTCTATAGCAACTACATAAATAGATCTATCCTGGAGATTAATTTGAGGATATTTTTAATGTCTCTTTAAATTCAGGTTTCTGATTGAAACTTGAATTAGCTTATTTCTTCAGCCCTTTAACTGGAGGAGTGCTATTGGTTGTTAAATTGAACTGTCTTTTGAATGTGATAAGTGAATATACTGTATGATATTTTTAATATACATGCTAGAATTGGGAAGATCTGCGTGAGCAGATAACTCCTGCTAGCGCTGATGGTACAGTGATAAAATGTCTGCACATTAGCTGTCTGGGAGCATCAGTCAGCCCTTTTGGGGAGCTTTGTAGCCAGTAGTGAAGCAGTTCTTCCCACATGCTTTTTTTTGCTCATGAGAAATGAGATTGTGCCTTGCTTTTGGCTGCTTATCTCTAGCCAACATATCTTCAGAAGCCAAATTTTACAAAAATTAATCAAGAGTAGTTTTTTTAATCTCACTCATGTGCATCAGTTTATAGTAAAAGAAGGTATTTGTAGGGATGCAAATATAGGGCATTTGTCCAAAGAAACAGTGTTTAAATAAGAGAAAATACGTGTTCTACATGGACAAAAAAAAAAGGTTGATTCGATCATTTCTGTCCAGAGCCAGGTGGTCAGCACTCATGGTCAACAAGAGCTGAGCTGCAGAAACTAATATTTAATGTAAAGTTTACCTTTTTTCTTACTCCCCCCCCGCCCCTGTTTTTTTTTTTCTCTTTTATACCAATGTTTTTGATTTCTGGCAGGGGGGGGGAGAGGAAGAAGTTTTGGGAGAGGTGGGCTTCAATGGGGCGTTGGCAAGTGGTTTGGGCTCCAAAAAAGATTTTCTATCTTATGCTTATAGCGTGTGGAAGTGGGGAGTTAGGAAGTCTGACTTCTATATTTTCTGAGGCTGTGATGGGAGGAATAATAATCTGTTTGGTAATGGGGAAAAAATGTGACACAGAACAGCATTCCTGTTTCTATTAGATTTATACAAAAATATGCTGTGCGTGGACCCTTACTGTACTGGCTTGAATCAGAGTTGATGCAGTTTATTACCTTTGGTTTTGTTGCTGCACCAGCAGAGTAATGATATATAGCAGGTTTAGTTTTAGCTCAGTATTGAAATCAAGAGTGCTGAGAAGTCACATCTGTTAAATTCTGTTGCTTTTACACTGAGCGGGTGCCTAAGGCACCTTTATAAACAGTTCCATAAAATTTTTTATGAAAGAATCCAGAATGAAGTCAGAGCATTGGAAGATTGTGGCAACAAAGAATAAAAATAATTTAAACCAGTGAGAAAAGTAGCTCTTAAGCTTTGGAAATAAACAGCTTTTTCGCATGGAGGTAGCTTATGAGATTAGTGTTGCTGGGTTTGCTTTCTTACTGCTTGTTTGCTTACATGCTACTGAAGAACAAATTCTTTATATAAATACATGTTTCGAGGGGTAAAAATATATATTCTTTTCATTCTTACAGCCTTTAAAATGTTACTCAGTGATGTTTTGCTATTGTTAAACTTGTGTGACTTTAATCCTAATTATTGAATTTATAGCATATTTGAAAGAAATAGGATTGGTTTTATCAGGTACCCAATCTGTAATTGTGTTTAATGACAGTTTCTTAAGTAGTGGTTATTCTTTCCCTGGTTATTAAACAATTTTTTGAATACTTATTGTGTTGCTAGATTATTTTTCTAAATAATTTGCATGTTAATAGGAAAGATATATATCTACTTCAAAAAATTATCTATCATATTTTGTAGTAGACATTTTTTCCACCTTTATTTGAAGTTTTGAAATACAATTTTTCAGTCTGTAGACTTTTTAGTAAAATTAGACTAAAACTACCCTGCCATCACCCTCTTAATTTTATCTGTTAGATTTAAGGTTATCATAGGCTATTTTTCTTTTTTTCTTCAACAAAAGGAAAAAAAAAAGTAGGCTACACATCAGCTACAGTTCTAAAACTGTTGGTTGAATTAATTTTGCTTTCTTGCTTATTCTTCTTTAGGGTGAATGTTTGATTCTGTTTAGCAGTAGCATCAACCGCTAACTTTGGCCACCACGCAAATCTACAAAGGATTGATTTTTGTCATTGTTAACCTGGTATTGAAATAGTCATGAGGATTTATTGCATAATACTTTAAGCTCCCTCTAACGTTTCATTGTAGAGAGCGAATATGAAATATTCATCTTTTAAAACAGACCTAGCCATAGTGGGCATCTTTTGAAGAGGTTCACTTCAGATAAAGCAAATGCTGAAATGCAAAACACCGTTCATTATTTGGATCAAAACAGCAATTATTTTTAGAGGCCTGTGTGTGGTATTGATGCCGTTCCAGACAATTATTTAAGACTGTGTTTTTCTTTTTTGCTGACAGGTGATAAATCCAATGGGATGGGATGCATTTGGTTTACCAGCAGAAAATGCTGCAGTTGAACATGGGCTTCACCCTGCAAGCTGGACACAAAGGTATTTTTTAATGAATTTAAGTAATATGACATTTCCACTGTGAATACCTGTACCATGGCCTCCATTAATCAATAACACAGAGCAAAATGAGTGTAGAAATAGAAGAAATACAGTACAGAAAGAACCAGGGTCATTTGCCAGTGTTTTATGGGACTGTGCAGATGATTCAGTTTCGAAAGACAAATGTATCAGGATGATTTTCAAGGTTTTCATCTCAATTACTTTTAACTTGTAAAACGGTAGAATATTGAAAGAGTGACATTTCCCAAACACCCAAATCAGTGAGTAAGAAATAAATCAGAATTTCATTATGGTGAGTTAAGCCTTAGTACAGAATACACAGTTGAAAATTATGAGCTACGTGGTTTAATTTAATAGCGGTTTTCAGTACCATGCAAAAGAGAAGAAAATAGTTTTTTCATTTGAGACTGGGTCTTGAAAAGTGATAAGCAGTCATTATTGCTCCTGATTTCTGTGAAAATTTTGGGCTTTAGACCACAGAATTGGATGTTATGTTCCCCAAATATTCTTTAAAATGAGTAGAAAATTATATAAGTAAACATTAATTTCTATAAATTACTCTGAAACTACTCTTCCTTACGTGAAGCTGTTTGTTGTGCTCTGGGTGCAGTAATCTAGCTGTAGTATCTTTGTGGACCTTGCTCCATTTCCTCCTTTGATAATGCTGTTTAAGTTTTTTTCATGCTTCTGGTCCCATGGTCCATTTCCTCCTTTGATAATGCTATTTCTTTTAAGTTTTTTTCATGCTTCTGGTCCCATGTTATGATACTTGATACTTTTCCAGATAAATATGATGGCAACTGATTTCACTTGGGAATAATGCATGAGTACATTACACACAAATTATGAGCTATTTATGCTCATTTTTAAAAATTTCCTTCACGTATAGTTTAGATGAGAATATTTGTGAGAACCAGTCAGCATCCAGACACAAAAATCTGGTTTTGTTCTTTTGAGAGTCTGAAACATCACTGTGCATTGTGTTGTGGGCTGTCAGTTATGTTGTAGTATGGTCAGTACATGGATGATTTCTGTCTTCCTTCAATAAACCAACTGAAGCTCAGCTGTAAAACACATCTACGTACCTGTTACATCTGAGTGCCTCGTTTTTGACTCGATTATGTTGATGGGACCTTCATCATGTAGAGCCTCATCGTGATCCTTACCTACATGACAACTGAGGCACAAAGTGAAAGTTGTTGTTTTGAGACAACAAGGCTGACATTATGTACTTACTGACTTCAGAAGGGGTAGTGTTTTCCCCTTCTCTCTACTACATGGTCCATCCTCACCACTTGTCCTGGCTTTGGCCCTCGTAGGACATCTTGTTGAACTGACTCAGCTTGTTAACTCAGCAGAAAGCCATTCTGCCAGCTGACTGGGTTGAACTGGCTCAACAGAAAAGCAGTGAGCATGTGGGGCAGAGAGACTGTGATAGCAAAGTACCGTTTCAGCTTGGCCTCTCTCCTCTAAGCAGTTTACAAAGTGAAAGTTGTTGTTTTGAGACAACAAGGCTGACATTATGTACTTACTGACTTCAGAAGGGGTAGTGTTTTCCCCTTCTCTCTACTACATGGTCCATCCTCACCACTTGTCCTGGCTTTGGCCCTCGTAGGACATCTTGTTGAACTGACTCAGCTTGTTAACTCAGCAGAAAGCCATTCTGCCAGCTGACTGGGTTGAACTGGCTCAACAGAAAAGCAGTGAGCATGTGGGGCAGAGAGACTGTGATAGCAAAGTACCGTTTCAGCTTGGCCTCTCTCCTCTAAGCAGTTTGTCAGGGTCATACCAAAAACTGTGGCACAGCCTGAGCTGAATCTCTTCTGCTACTTTCTGTGCTATTCTGGTTTTTGTTTTTTTTTCCTCTTTTCTTGTCAATAGGTACATATTGTTCCATGCGCCTGAAGCAGTTCAGCTGAGAGTTACAAGTACAAGATGTTTTGTATGGGAAGAAAAATTTGCTTTGAAAATTTCCTTAGTACTGAAAAGAGTGAATGTCTAGTTTTTAGAGTTAGATAACAATATTAGAAGAACAAGCTAAGACAAGTTAGCACATCGTTATTGGGACTGATTATAAGAACATCCAAATAGGAAAATTAATTACATACTTTTTTTTTTTTTTTTTAAATTATGCTAAGGAAGGGAGTTAGTTCATCATAGTGGGAGTTTAAATTCTGACCACTGAAGTAATTTCTGTCCTCTGTTTTCTCCACTGTCCCTGTCCTGAATGTTTGTCACGCCTGCAGCAGGGATGACTGAACTGCATGAGAAGCTGTGATGGTGTGATAGCAACCTGATGTGTTTTAGTCATCCCTGGAGCAGAGCCAGTCACCCATGTAAGGAGGAGTGTGCTGTAAGCATTTCAATGGGCTTCATTCAGGAGTGAACAACCATGTTTCAGAGCATCATAATTTTCTGAAAAGGTGATTTAAAGTGAGCTCCAATTGGCTAGTACTTCTTATATTCTCAAACTCAGGAAAAAAAAAAAACATAAAATTGAAGATAGAGTTACTTATACAAAACACACAGAAATGTTTGATAGTATTTAGTTAGTGGCAGAAAATACACTCAAATTTGATTTATTTTTTTTTGTATTGGTGCAGCTCATTTTGAGTGGGACTTTAGTATAAGTAGTACTGCTGAAAGTATGGTTTCTCGCAGTGGAAGCTGTGTGTCCCTAAGAGGACTTGCTGGTGTACCCCTACTGATATTACCCTATTGGCAGACCTTTTCTAGTGTCAGTGGGGCTCTGCAGCTGTTAGTGCTGGATACTTGCATTACTCAGTTGTTCAGCAGGGCAAGTTTGTTCTGGATCAGAGCTAAATGCTTGGTTTCATGACTGTCAAATTAGTCACTGTGAGAGGATAGGTGATACTTTATCTGACATAATGCATTTTAGTAGAAAGTCTGTAAGAAACTTTAAGCAATTTTAAGGTATGTGAATGAATTTGCACCAGGTCACTAGTTAATACAGTGTAATTGTGGGTATTTTGGTAGACTGTATTTAGTGCATTTTCAAACTAAAACTTCACTGTATATTCTGATGTATCTCGTTTTACAGTTTTAAAATAATCCATCCAAGGTCTATCCCTACCATTTCACTGTTGACCTAAGTTTATCTATGACTGTGCTGCCACCAGAAGTTTAGGGGTTCCTTGTCAGCTCCCAGGATATATGTTCCCACCACCTCTTTTGTGCTGGCTCAGATGTTTTTGCAACCACTGTATTGGTTTGCTCAGCCTGTTGATCAGAGGGAAGCAAGAAAACTGGTGGGGGTTTTCTAAAAACTTTTTGTAGGACGTGTTTACAGTTGAATGGGTAAGTTGATTCAACTCATCTTATAGCACACAATCACCAGAGCCAAAGCACAATACAGCCAGGATGGCATTGCCAAAGTAAAGCAGAATTAAGCTGTTTGCAAAAATGTGTCCTACAGCATCATGAAGATTTCAGGAACATTTCCATCAAACTGCAGCACCATATTTGCTTTCCAGTTATGCTCAAATCAGGAGAACAAAAATCATTGTCTTGTGCACACAGCCATTGAAATTGAACCAGAATGCACTAGGGACTTTTAAAATTATTATTTAAGATGAGTATTCTGATGGTTCCTCGAGTTTCACTATTTATGAGATACTAGTGTTTAGAGGTTAACTAGCGCTTTTGATTTCTCAGAACTTTATTTTTAAGTTAATAAATTTTTCCATTTTTATTTTGCAGTAATATTCAACACATGAGGGAACAGTTTGATGCACTAGGTCTGTCTTTTACATGGGAAAGGGTAAGATTTTCTTTTTTAAGCATTGTTGCTTCATTGTATGATGGAACATTGAAGAACATGGGATTTCACTATGTTATTTATGACAATATAGAAGACTTTGAAAGTTACCAGTTTAAGTTGTTAAACTGTAAAATTACACTTGAAAAAAGCGGGAAAGGGAGCTGCTTTCTGGCTTCTTATCAAACTTCTCTTACTTTTGACATACTGACATCATCTGATAACCTCAAGGTTTAAGAGAATTTTTAAAGTAATTTCAGTTTTGCATTTTGATTTTTCTCTCTGCTTTTTCATCTCTTTCGAAGTAGCAATTTTCTGTGTTAGAAGTTAGGCAGTAGTCTAAATAGATATTTATGAAGTAGCCTTCATAAATAGCCTTCATGCCTTTGCGTTAAAGTACGTATGTTCTAAGGAATTAATTTTTTCAATGTGTATGTTTATTATAATATACTTAAGGGTTTAGAGCTAGTAACTTGAAATGATGTTTTAGTTATGTTATTCTAAATCTGAGTAAGTCCGCATTTTCATAGGTGTTCATATCGTGACAGTTTTGGAAAATAGAAATTTTATTTAAAACACTAATGCTTGAGAATCAAGTGTTCACCTTAAAAACCTTACCAAAATGATCAGACATAAGCTAATGTCATTTTCAAGATTAAAAAAAATAATTTTTGAAGCAATTGTAAGGTTATTGCATTTACCAGTGAATGAATGTCAGTCACTACCTTTATATTCTCAGCAATAACCATTGCTTATCACCTTAATATGATTCTGAATAGAGTGATGGAGATGCTAATCTTGGATTTTTATAGCAGCATTGTAGATCTGAAAAGGAAAAAGATTAGTTTTCTGGCAGTCTGAGATCTGCCATCTCTTTTCTTTAATCTTGAAGGTGAAGTTGTTTATTTTTATGTCATACATCTAAAAACCGTATTTCATCGTGTCATATATATGGCAAGATTTTCAGTATAAGCCTTTTTAGTAAGATTTTCATTTCCTGATAGTGAAAAGGTTGCTCTGAAAATAAAAGGTTTGTTGTGGAAGGTTTACTGCACGCATTCTTGACAATTATTTTCTTATATTTAAGACTGTTAGTATCTCTGAGATTTTCTGTATGTGTAATACAGCAATACTTCAGAACAGTGAAGTCATATGTGTAGGCTGTATTATGGAACACGCCAGAGTTGAATGTTGCGGAGTAACTTTCAGGAAAATTAAGAAAATTCATTTCTGTATATGGACTTTTGTTTAACCCTTCAATTCTGAAGAAGAGATGGAGAACTGGCAGTACCGAAAACCATGGCAGGAAGTATAAGTATAGAGGGGAAAGCAATTTCTCATCTCTGTGCCTGTTCTTTGAGGCTTACCTTCACTTTTCACTTACACTTCACTTTACCTTACTTTCACTTGGTTAATGAACTTTCAGAAGTCTGTGAATTCTTGTGGAAAGGGCTGTGATGCTCTACTAAGTTAATTTGAACAGTTGTGTAATTAAAATAATTCCGAATGCTCCAGGGGCATGTAGTTTGTCGGTTTGAAAGGTAAGATTTTTTAAAACAGCTAAGAAGTGCTCCTTGAAACACAATGAACTTTGGAGTTTTCACTCCTTAGCTTATTAGTTAAGTTTTTTTGTACCTAGAAAGCCTGCCTTATTAACTGAACTAAGAGTAACCTGAGTGGTAACCATTAGAAATAGATGTGTTTATTCATTGCAAAAAATGTATGATGCCTGAAATATATCTGTATGGCATGATCTCCAAATGCATGGATATTTGAGCTAGCTGTGAAGGAACTACCTTTGGAAGCAGAACAGCTAAGAATGTATTTTCCAGGCTGATAAAGCCTGCTTCTCTGCAAGGCTAATTAGCCTGGGCAGAGCATCTTACTGCCTCGCCTGCCCTGCTTCTGGGCTAACTCAAGCATCTTGGCCCAGCAATGCACTGCACTGTGCAGGTACTTATCTTAAAAGTGAGGTGAGAGGTTTTATTTTTATTATTCTGTACTTGAATGGCACTAAATCAGTCGCTTACAAAATACCATGACAATGCAAACAAACCTACTAGCATTAGTGACTCCTATGAAAAATGCAAGAAAAACACTTTTTGTATGGGTTAGTTTCATTAACTAAGACTATTGTACAAAACAAGAGATTGTTTTTCATTTAGTTGCATTGGTGTTGCTTAAATGTGCTCCTTGGTTGTGCTAGAGCATAGTACCTAGCAAATACATGCTAGAGGGAACCCATTCCCTTACCTTAGACCCCTGTTTTAATGTGAATTGCCTTTTTAAAGTGCAGACCTTTTATGTTAACTGTCCTCTGTGGCCAGCTTAGAGTATATGCCTAGATGACGTGAAGAAAACTTCAGTAAATTTTACCATTTTACAAATGTTAAGGGGAAAGAAGTGGGAGAATAATAAAAAGTAAATTTTTTATACCTAGTGCACGTAGCTGTGCTAAAGGAGCTGGCTACTTATAAAATCATGTCTGGTGTTCAAGAATGCCCTGTCCTGGAATATGAAGGCCAGTTGTAGTTTTATTGCTTGGTAAAATTATTATGGACAAATCCCAGTGCACCTGGGATGCTAGAAGTTTTCTTTTATTTATCTGTGTTTTTTTCATTGCTCTGTCTGTCTTGCAAATCAAAACACAAAAGGATTTTTGTGTTGTAGCAGTCAGTGAAATTACTTAACCACTAAGGCGCCACAAATAAGGCATTATTAAAAACTAATTAGATTGCTTCAGATTAGATTACAAAGACACTTGAAAATTACTCTTCTAAACAGAAAAGCAAACTAAAAATGTAATTAAATGCATAAAATAGCTCTGTAGGTACTTTGCTTTAGCGTAGTTTTGAATACTAAGAGTGATCTGTTATGTTTTCCCTGAAACATGTAGATATTCTAAGTGCCTCAAGTAATAAATGTAATTTTAAATCACTTTGAAAATGGTGTGATTTTGGGGAGACATTTTTTTTGAAATAATAAAGAAGATAGAGAACATTTCTCTTCTGAACATTTATGTTTGTCAGAGCCAAGGTTAAAAGCTGCAGTTTGAGGATGAAAGAAATGTCTCTGAAAGACATTAAAAACACCTGGGAAATAAAAAACGTTGTGGTTATGTTTTGTTTTTAAGATAACAGTAATTTGGGCATTCCTGGTGATCAGATTTCTCACTGTCCCAGACGACATAGCAAACTGCCTGCCACTTCTTTAAAACACGATTTTCAGGGGAATTAGGCAATATAATTTTCAAAGATTAATATAATCAGCCACAAGAAATGGAGAGTGTGTAGCCTTTTCTCTTTCTTTTGCTAAGGAGTGCTGTCAGGCTGAATGCATGTTCCCAGTGAGCCACCAGTTCACCACGGTATTATCAAGCTGTAACTTCTAGAAGGTAGCTCCTACTGCCAGCATTTTTTAGTCTAAATGATTCCTGTGTGCCAAGTGACATAATTTTTTGCATAAGAATAATGTTCCCCTTCTGCTTTGAACATTAAAAAAGATGAAATCTTTGGTAGGTTTTCTTTGTGTGGGTTTTTTACTGTTTAGTTTTGAAGTTGTCATTCTTGTGCAGTGCCTGAGCATGCGTAAAACTGTAGCAGTAGATAAAGGATTACCTATTAAATTTTCTTTTTACCCACGTATCAGTGATAATCAGTCACCCTACTTGTAATGAAATAAAAAATGAAACCATTGATACAAGGCTACATTTTTGCAGGAAAGATATTCATGCTCTAAAATGTAGACACTGCGTGACGTTTGTATTTGTAGCTGAGAAAGCATGGAACTTAAGGGACCTTGAAATACAAATATTCAAATAAATTTAGAAATGTAGTTTGGTCTAGCTTTAAACCCCTGAAAATCAAATAATTATACTTCCAGGTGAGGTGGTACACGGCCTTTAATACCAAAATAGGCAAATAATAGGTTAAAGACTGTTTAATCTTCTCAAATAGATATTAAAAAAATCCATTCCGATTTTTTCTCCTTATCACCTTTTTAATAAGTACCACGTACAACAGGGGTGTCTTCAGGATAGCATTAGACTGTGCTAGAAATAAAATTCTTAGTAATAAACTAGGAAATTACTTCTCTCCAGCCTAGTTATATGTTAAAATTTGGCGGATCTTACAACAAATAAACACTTTTATGCCTGCAAATGTTACTTAAAAAAAAAAAGAGTCATGAAAATAGCTTAAAGATGTAACCTTCTTAAAAAAAAAAACAACAGACCAAACCAGTTTTAGGTTCGGAGCTACATATTACAAAGTTGTAAGAATGGAACAGATTTAGAACAACTGATGAACTATAAAACAAGGCATTCGAAAATTAGTTTTTCTTTTATATATATTTCATCTTTGTAAAAAGGGCTTCTGATTTTTAGTGTTTATTTTAACTTTGGGGAAAATATGCTAATATCCTGTCTACATATATATATTCTCTGAAGTGCTTTATGGTATGGGTTCTGTATGTATGCTGTTATCCTAGTGCTCAGTTCACAAATGAGAAGCAGCAGGTCACATTTTTTGGCAGGGTGGAAGGGCCCCATCGTGCTATTTTGCAGACCCTTTTATAAACCCTTTTCTGTGTTTCTGAGTTAAGTCAGTTCTGTTAATGCACTGCAAATCCTTGCCATGCTCATAAAGTATAAATAGGAATGTTAACATTCACCTCAATTTAAGCATGATAGCAGTCTAATGGAAACTTTTTACCAGACGTTATTTATTTAATTGAGAACAGTAACTGGTATACATGGAAAATTATTTTTCACCTTAAGTCTTAATGTGCTAAGTGGTAGGAAAAAAAACAAAACATTTTGAGATTGACAAGAGGTTGCTGGCTTGTATCAGGAACTCATTTCACTTGATAGTGATGTAATTTTTCTTTCTTTGTTAACTTCCAATGTGGCTTCAAACTTTCGTGGTTATAAAGTTAAATGATGAGCCTCAGTCATCTTTTTGCAGCCCAGTGACCACACAACAGATTTCCCCCAGTGATAACAGTCTTCTGTGTTTCTTTCTGAGAGATGTCACCTTACAACTTGTGAGAGAGCGTGGACATGAGAATCTGATCCCAGGATTTAGCTTGTACCGTGTCCTAAACGTGCCTGTTCAGACTGAGAAACATCATCTCTTTGTGTTTCAGTTAAAGCACGTCTGCCATTCAGGACCAAAAGGACAAACCTCAGTCCATTTTACTATTTTTATTTGAGAACTTGCTCCAGTTGTCTTACCTGTTTGCCTGTTGCTTGCATAATTTTATATACCAAAAGGGATCGTGTCTCTTCGTTTTTGTCTCTGATGCTGCAGTGATGAAGCTTTGATGCCTGTGGTGGCATCACACTGGCAGAAGAATTCCACTGTGTGGAGAAGCAGGGGAAAAAAAAAATAGAAATTATTAAATGAATAGCGTTTAGTTGGAGAGATGGAAATCAGACTTCTATCAAGTGTTTTTTTCAGTGCAGAGCACAGGGATTTAATCAAGCAACTGTTTTTCATGACTAAGTCTTTGCATGCTGTGCTGAAAACTTGCCATTAAATGTCTCTTTCTGGTCTTGAAAGCCTCTTATACATACTTTTGAGACATATCTATTCAAAGGTCATATTAGTTGTTCAAAGCAGTGTTTCAGCACTGGAATATAAAGCTGTAGAAAAAGAATAAAATTTTTATGCTGGAGTGTTTCAGATGTCATTCGAGTAGCAGATGATATTGCCAATGCTGTGTGTAGAGGGATGCTTAGATGAGAGGAAAGCCTGGGTGAAAGACATTTCACATTTGGAGCTATTTCAGGTAGTTGATAACTATTTGCAAATGGAATAAATTTTGTCAGTGGCTTGCTGTCAGCCCTGGAACTCTGAAATCAAGAGACGTTCTTGTTGATTTGAAGTTCAGCGTAGGAGTCACCTTCCCCTCCAGTAAGTACAAATGCGGTCAAACAGAAAGTTTGCAGAAACGTTTCTTCTTTAAACAAGTGCAAGTTAAACAGGAGAGCTGTTGAGGAGGGAAATGTGATCTGTTTATTGTCACATATTTATGATATAATTAGAGCTTAAATACTGAGTTACACAGTTGTTTTCACTTTGGCCAAACTTTAAAATACGTGAGTGAAAGTGTATGTGTGTCCCTTGTGCCTGTAAAACACTGTGTTTGTGTAGAGAAAATTGGGAGTCTATAATCACGTAATTCTGTAGTCATTTTTACATATTGAGATGTTTATTTGAAGTGCAGTTTGTTTTTTTAAGAACAAACATTTGAAATACGCTACTCTGTAAGCAGGTGGTAAGTTGGTTTTTAATTATTAGAGTTCACAAAAAATTATAAAATGTGTGCAAGTTTAAAAAAGCTATCCATTGTCTTGTTACCTGCTGTTCTCTTAACATCCGTTCCTTCTTTTTATGTTGTCTTTCATTTTTATCTGTCTTTACTTCCCACTTAGCAATCCCCCTCGTTTGTGACATCTTTCATGACTCTTACCTTTTTCTCCAAATGTTAACCCAGAGCATTCTCCTACCTCGAGCTGGCTCGCCTTTTGAAATGGTTTCTTATTTGACCTGTGATTGCATGATGGCAAGTCTTTCATCTTGAAGTTTAGAGTCTTACCCCCTATTCCTTCCTGGCTGCCCCGCACGCTCGCTGTGCCAACGGCCTGGGTTCCCCAGTGCTGTGCTGCTGCCCTCCTCCTCTGCCAGCTGCTTGGGATGTAGCTCTGGCAGCCAGCCCCCAGCTGCCTCCCAACACCCCACACTCTCTGGTCCTCCTTTTCATTGCTGAGCAACAGAGAAAAAGGCAACGTGGCTGAGATGACTTCTCCGACAGAGTTCTACTTTCTTCTAGTTTTGCTGTTTTCCTGATTAGGGAGCTGTGGTCGTTTCCATTCATCTTCTGTTCTTATGTCTATCAGCATTGGTATTACAGAGTTCTTAGAATCCATGTTAACAGGGAAACTTGTCTTTGCACATCAAACCCACACAAAGGGTTTTTTGTACAGGTGAATATCACTCATTATAAACATTACCCAAAACTGCATTTATGTTTTCTCTGTAACGTATATTATGCACTCCTGAGTTAATTGTTTAAGTTAAAACACTGTAACAAAATGCTAAGTATAGCTTCAGGAATTTTTATTTTATCTCGTTCCTGCAGGAGATAACCACTTGCTTACCAGAGTACTACAAATGGACACAATATCTCTTTCTTAAACTTTTTGAAGCTGGGATAGTGTATCAAAAAGAGGTAGGTACAAACTTTCACCTTTAATAATTTGCAAGTGTACTAACTCAAGTCACTCATTATGTCAGTGGCACATTTCTGGATCATCCATTCACGTTCATTAAGTGGTTAGCTATTTATTGTGCTCTATTGATTTTAGATCACTGCAAAATATAATGAATTTCATATATAACTGAATGTTTTACATAGGTAAATTTCATGTGTAACTAACTAACATGAGTGGGTATTGTAGCGAGTCAAAGCAGAAACGTTTATTGTCAGTGATTTACATCGAAATGCAGGATCAGAATATAGCTACTATTAGTTTATTTAATGGCTTTAATATAGAATTTTCTAGGTCTTAACCTCCCTCTCATTTGAGATAAGGTGATCATGAGGAGTCTCTTCAGCAGCCAGATTATTTAACTGTATAACATTACTGTAATGCTGTCTCAGAACTGATAGGATTGGATTGGATAGTTGGAGATTATACATCCCAATTCCTGGACCCTATTTGTGATCTCTAAAATATTACAGAAATATTAGATGCAATAAGACTATCACCACTATTTTTCTGTTAGAGTAAATTAGGAAAATATGACCATATAATATTTTTTTAAATCGGGCTATGTGTAAAGGAACGAGTTCAGTTAACATTTTAAGCAAGAGGTGAAACAAAGACGTTAAAAGAGCCTTCCAAAGAACTTGCTGTATAGCCAAGGCAACACAGTTCCACAATACCTGAAGAGCTACACCTAAACAAAGCTGCAATTTAGTGAATGTTTCTAACTTAAAATGGAAACTAAGATTTATTAAATATGCTTTGACATTTCATTTGTATTCTATGGAAACCAGAAAACCCTGTAGGATATCATTAGTGATGTAGTCACTATTCTCTGAACCCAGAGTAAGAGGCTGATGGTGCAAGGTAGCATTTGGATTGGCAGGGTGTTGCTGAGCTACTTCTATTTCCATTGGCAAGATGTACTCAGAGTTCTTAAATGACAAACAGCAAAAAGATTCAATATTTGATGTGTCCTAACATGCAGGGTGGGAGGAGGTGTTTCTTCCTTTTTTTCTGTAATTATTTTCTGTGTTTGCAATAAAAAGAAAAAAATCCCTAGCTTTGCCATAACAAAGCTATTTTTATCTGTAAATTTGTTTGCTTGACAAGTGATCCCAGGTGAATCTGAAAAGCACAAGGCTTGCTGCTTTGTTAGAAGCAGGGATGATATACAAAGCAAATTTTGCATGCAGGCTCTCAGTGCTGCAGGATCCTGGAGGTGTTTGGGTACCAGTGATTGAATCTGCTTCCCTCTTAAGAGTCAAGGATCAGTTTGAGGACTTAAGTCAGCATCTGTCAACCTGCAGGGGATGTAATCTCTGGTGAATATAAACCAGTTGCTTTTTGGCAGGAAACAGATGGCAGAGATAGCCCATTACCCTGGGTCCCTTCAAGCAGTAACATATACTTAAAGCATATATTTATCCCTTGTCTTCAGCCTACCTGCAATACACATTAGGCAGTACTTTTGCACAGCTTGATGTCTCCTGTCTTACAATTTCATTTTGGGTACAAGGACATAATTCATAGCCTTACTGTGGTGATAAAAATAATATATGAAGAGTGTTAGTCCAGTTAACGATCTATTCCAGGGGTATGTGTGTCTGGCCAGAAATTACACTGTCAGGGAGACACAGACTCGGTATGTCCAGGAGCTGGATTTAGTGAGAATTAACAATGTCTGTCTGGGTGGTGCAGTATCCATAGAGGGCATTTTCAGTCACCGAAGCAAAATCCTCTCTCTCCTTCCCGCAGTAGTGATCTAGTCCATGTACTGTAGAGGTTATTGACCTGGCCAGATGTGGCTGTCTTATTTAGGTTGAGGTTAATTTCTGCCTAGACTCTGTTGATTATTTTGATTAGGTATTTGTAGACTGTAGTGGAACCATAGGCATCAAACCTGGAGATAAATACTTACCCTACCGATACCTGAGGTTAGATGAGATGAATCCTATCTGGAAAGCATACGGTCTACATTGGTGTAGAGAGGAGTTCTACATAATTTGTGGTTTCTATACACTTTTGCATTGTTCCTGTTTGTGTAGATGACGTTTAGTGGCTTCCTGGGGCCCTATTTTCAGAGGCTGTCATTGTCAAGAAGTTGCCTGTGTGAGGTGCAAGTAGGAACTAAGAATTTAATTTAATATCCAGGTTCTGGATATTATTGAAAAGGCTATGAGAAGGAACAAAATGCAACTCTAAAAATTCACAGACAAGGCTATTTAGTAATGGATTTCTCAAATGCGTATTTGCTTTGTTTTGCGTGAGAAATCTTCCGGTTATAAATCACGAGAATGTTACACTAAATAATTATACTCATATAGACCAGCTACCTTCTAAAATTTTCATCATAAATTCAATCCAATATCATCAAAACAGAAACAGTATTTTTTCTCAAGTTTGAGTCATAGCCAATTTAAGACAAGCATATGCTGATACTGCTTTATGCAACTGGCATTTTATTACTTGTTAATGTTACCTGATTTATCTCTCTTTAGCTGTTATTTTAACTTTGTAGTAGTGTGGGATCTTTTTCAGAACTTACAAATTAAAAGACCGTTACTTTAGAGCCGACTTCATAATGTGTTATATCATTACTAAAGAATTTGTATGTTCTGAAAGTCTAGAAAATTGATCTGTAGTAGTGGAATATAATGATTGCTTTTAATTTCCCAATGAATATTCAGAAGCCTTTTATAAAAAAAAAAAGTGTTGTTATTGGTAGGTAACGGATAAAAGGTAGGCAAACTGTAAAAAGTTTAAATGCCAGTGACACTGTAAGATGGGTAAAATGGTTGTGATATTTACTATTTCTACATGTAGCATATTTAAAATGAAGCAGTGTCAGTTGTTTGGAAACTGGCGCATTTCAGAAGGTGATCAGTGATAGATAAAATGTAAAGTGAGTAATATGAGGAAAGGGTTTAGGTTTTAGATTGAGATACGGTCCTCCTCCTACCCAAAGAGTGCATTTGAAATTTTCAAATAATGTTTAATGTGTGAAACCACTATGGAGCTGGACTTAACTGTTTTTTCAGTCAGTCTGATTTAACTTTATCTCAAATACTAAATAACACTCAAAATAATGGACTACTTTTCTTTATCGTTTTGATTATTTTTATATTTTTTTCTTTATGTCCATTTTTTCAAATTAATGTCTAGCATTGAATATCACTTCTGAAATGAACCATTAGGATTCTTCTGTGGTCTTAGATTCTTTATGATAAATGATCAGCTAAATTGTTCAACACTGTGGGGGACGAGTTGGATTTTTGCTTCCTCCCCAGTATGATATGTCTGGTATGTCAGTTAGCCCTCACAAGGTTTGTAATGTTGAACACCAACATTTATTTTGCTTTAAATTTTCTTTAATGTATTTGTATTGATAAGGAAGGATGATTCCAAAAGTAACTCACACAGTTGACAATTTATTTGTATTGATAAGGAAGGATGATTCCAAAAGTAACTCACACAGTTGACAGAAGTTATATGCAGAAAGTAGCAACTCTTTCACTTGAAATATAGTTGACCGCTATAATACTTCTTTGGGATTCTGTCCTCTCAGGTTGGAGATCCTCAGATATTCATCCCTCTCAGTCTCCCTCAGTGGTTTTGGAGTAGTGGTGTACAGTTTTTAAGCATCAGACTATGTAATTTGCAGTATAGTCAATTGGAACTTACCTATTTAATATTCAAGTGTCAGCCTGTCCAGCTGCCTTGATCAATCAAGGCAAATGCTGCCAATTGCGTTCTTGGGGGTTTTGAGTTCTGAGAAGATGAATATTCAAAACATCTTCAGTTGGGTCCACCTCACTGATTGAAATGAATGTTCTAAAAATGTAAGAAACTAAGAGGCCTAAGAAATGTTTGTAGATAATTCTCTTGGTATCTGAAAAGTAAGATTGTGGTTTTGAAACAGCTGCTAAAAATATTTTTTTCTTCTTGCATCTTTTTTTTTAGGCCTTGGTTAACTGGGATCCAGTGGATCAGACTGTTCTAGCTAATGAACAGGTGGATGACAATGGTTGCTCATGGCGTTCAGGAGCAAAAGTGGAACAGAAATACCTCAAACAGTGGTTTATCAAAACTACTGCTTATGCAAAGGTATGAGAATACAGTTTTTAGAAATTATGGTAGCACTTAAAAGAATTGACTTTTCATCCAGAAATATTAATGAATATGGGTCTTCATGAATGTAGTCTTCTACATATGCATGTTTGTGTAATATATAATAATATATGTGATCTATCCCTGTGCGTGTGTGTATATAAAAACTATTATCCCTGAAGTCTTTCTGTTCATATCTTTAAGAATTCAAAGTAGTTGGTGTGGGATTTTTGAAGAAATCAAAAAGCAGAAATTAGATGTGAATGAATGAATTCTGCATTCACACGTTGTCATCCCATATTTACTGTCAAGTGCTTTTCTGCATATTTTGAATGTACAGCTGTGCAGGCTTTTGAACTAGAAACTTGTTCATGTAGTCAACCTGTTGGACTTATGGGCATGGAGTACTTACAAGCAGTGGGGTACAGCCTGTCACCTTGCGTTCATTTCCATGTCTGAACCATAGTTCTTTATTATTAACTGCTCTTTATTGAAGATCATCTGGACTTTCTATTGTACTTCCCACTCTACTCTGTTTGATTATCTGTAATTTAAAAAAGATTTTCAGATTATTTAAGCATCCTTTTCTGTTAGGAGCTTAAATTTTGATTGTGATGGGACAGCGTTGCTTCCACACCTAGGAATTCTTCAACAAAATTTTTGGGTTTATGCTGTCTGAGTTGAAAGTATAGACTTCCTGTCTTGTCTGGGTGAAGTGTTTATTCCATCCAAGTGTTCTGTGTATTGAGACTTCAAGTACGGATTGAGAAAGTTATTTCCAAGAAAATGTTAAAAATTCACTTTTTACTCTTTTCCTGAGTCTCAGGCTCAAGAGACCAAATTTCCACCATCATCCAGGGAGAAGAAATCCAGGTCTCACTCTAGATCCATTCATAATCAAGACCTTAGCTGTGTTGCCTGATGCTTTGATTCCACATACACAGAGAGGGTGCTTCAGTTGAATGTTTTCTGATTGTGCTGCCTGTTCTGGCAGTAAGGAGAGAGCATTTGCTACAGCTGAAGGAAAAATGGAGCTTGTCTGCACAATCACTAAATGATCACAACATTCTGAGCTTTTTATTGGTGCTCTTGTCATCAGATTTCACGATGACCTTTGTGATATTTCAGGGTCTGCCCCAATTCACTTTTCCCCTCAATTTGAGGCTGGAGCTTCACTGGAGTTTCTACTTTTACTGATACATCTTTTGTCTATTGTCTTTAGAGAGGTTGTAGGAAGTAATGAATGTTATTTCTAGGCTGTCTCCATGCTTGCACCAAATCACTATTTACTTATCTCCCTCTTAAGAGGGGTGAATCAGCCTTAAATTTTTACTCATAAAGACTAAAGGACAAGACTGAGAAGCTTTTCAGTAACCTTGGAATCACCCTTTGCTTACAGGATTATTACCTCTTGCTCAATAATCACCCTCCTCTAGGGAGGAGGATTTATCTTTTGTCTTTAGTCTCTGACCTAAGAAATGTCATTACAGGAAATGCATCCGCTCTTGGGATGATCACATCTCCCACATATCGTTCTCCAGGAAGCAGGCTTAGCTGATGACAAGGAGGAACTTGTGTGTTTCCCCCAAAGGTGTCTCAGGAGACTGCCATATCCCGTACCTACATGAACAGCAAAAATGCAAACAACCCCTTATTCTTGAACATCTTAGTGGCATCATAAATGAGAGCTGCTTCTACTTTTCGTTTGGGGGTGAATGTTTATATCAACCTCTACAAAACCTTTAAGCGTTACTAAAGAGGACTTCTGAGTATTCTACAGATCTTTGTAAAGGTTTCCCAAAATTTTGTTGCGTGCATGATTGATATTCTGTATGGTCTATGCTAGCTGTCACAACCAGGTCCATGAATGATGCCATATTGCTCCCAAGTGCTTTGGCAGGCATTGCCTTCTTGTGCTCCCACTTCTTGTACAGTGACAGATGCTACCAAGTATCAGCAGGTGGTTTGGATTTTCCTTTTCACTCATCCTCCACTGACTCCCATTTTTGTTGCTGTGGTTCTGGCACATTTTGAACAGTCTCACTGTACTTCTTTTGGCAAGGGCTTTAAACGTTTGGTTGTAGATGGGGAAAAAATTGCCTTTTTTTTTTTTTTTTTTTTTTTCCCCCAGACCTTCAAAAAAAAAACAATGTAGCAATTCTTAATTTCGGGTAGAAGGAAAAAAAAAAAAAAAAAAGCC